GTGCGTGCGTGTGTGTGTGTGTGCAAGGCCCAGAATTGAAATCAACACCATGAAAATCTACATATTTTGCATAGGCAAAAATCAAATTTTCATCTTTGACACCATCAGAATGTTCCATTGAGATGTGAAAAGTCAGTTACATCTTGGTGTCGATGTTTTTATTAAATAATTTCATTTATTAAAATTTAATTGAAAATATTTGTGCCCGTTGCCACAAAATTAAATTGAAATCTATATTGAAACAAATGGCAGGAGAGTGAGAGAGAGAGCCAGAAGTAAAAAAAAACGGACTCTTTTCGACTCATTCTACCGACCGAGATTAAACATTTAGATAGGATTTTTAAGCACAAGATAAGGCTTTAGTCGATTTGCTGGGAATTCATTCAACGCCATCAATTCGGTTTGTGTGGAGTGAGAAAAGCAGCAAATCATAGCCGCAACCAACCAAACAATGAACGAATGAACAACTTTGGGAGAATGTTCAAACTTTTTTCTATGCTTCAATTCCATTTTTTTCACGCTGGACTTTTCTCGCATCGGTTTATTTTATATAGATCCTCTATTAGCACGAAAACTATCGGCAACTGGTTCCGCGTAATACGAAAGTTTGTTTTTTTGTTGTTGCTAAATACATGAAATGTAGCGCACACTTTATCTAAAGCCTCTGATTTTTTTTGTTGTGTTCATTCATTCTCCATATCGATTGATTCTTTTGAAATGAACTTTATTCACAACTGACCAGACAGCGTTTTCAATGCAGAAAAAATAAATTTAAAATTGAACATTTTATTCAGACCATTCCGTTTTCTAGGTGTTTCACAATCAAATACACCACCGACCGTAGTAAATAATGGCCAGTTGAAATTAGTTTTGGTCTTCAATTGCATTTCAATGTTATTGCGGCTCGAGATAGAATTGAAATACACTTCAGTGAGTGTGTGTGTGCTATTTTTTTTCTATTTTCAGCTTTGAATACGATTGGCAGATTTATTAATTATATCGGCTAAAAATATCGATTGCTCTGTACAAAGTGGCTCGCTTCGCATTTGCGAAAGATACTTGTGCATAATTGAATGGAACATTGTTCAGAGCGTATATCGTTTCATAGATTCAAAATGTCAAGATGAGTTACTGCCTTTTCTCCTTTATATTAGCATGTTTGTACTTTTAGCCAGCGAGAGCGTGAACGTCGTTCACTGAAGACTATTTTCTTTCTCAATGATATTTATTTTCAACGACTTGAAAGAAAAAAAAGGATGACATCAATGGACAGACTCGATTTTTCTATACCAATTTTGGTTTCACCTTTTCTGTTTCATTTTTTTTCTCTAAATAATTGAATTTTCTTGTATCATTCGTTTGATGAGAGAACGTTGTTCTATTGATCAAATGATAAAAATATACATTCTAAATGGTTTTTTATCGCTTCATTCCATTACACCGTGTAACAAATTTCAACTTTTTCTTCTGCACATGAGAAATTCCGATTGCTTGTTTTAGAAGACCAAAAACCAAGCACTTTTGCATCATTAGTTTGTTCGAAACCACGTCTAGACTTTTTTTTATCGACACATATAAGACAAATTTCAGGCCAAAATGAGCAAATCACAAACATGAGCTTCGGTTTGACAGGTAAAAGCAAATAATTTCTAAATTTTCTGCCTTTCAACATCTAGTATGATCCTTTACAAACATTTTGGATACTTACATGACCAAATCGAGTGATATTTTCACATATTTCTGGCCGCATATTTGGTTGGTTCGAATTCGACTCTGAAAGAATCGACTTTTGGCCAAAAATCCTTAAGTATAGGCTTTTCAGGGATGGTCTCTTGGCGCAAAGTTATTTTTTCTCGAAAATATGGGAAGTCTACCCAGACAAAAACTCTCAAAATTGACTTTTCGAGGTACCTCCCGAACAAAAGTTACGTTTTTCATGCATTTTGCTATGAAAATAACATTTTTTGTTCGGGAGGTACCCCAAAAATACACTATTTGGATGAGTTTCTTAGTAAAAAATTAATTTTTTCGAGAAATATTGGGAATCTTCCCACACAGAATCTCTTATAAATGATTTTTGGGGTACCTCCCGAACAAAAAATGATATTTTCATAGCAAAATGCATTAAAAACGTAACTTTTGTTCAGAAGGTACCTCGAAAAGTCAATTTTGAGAGATTTGGTCTGGGTAGACTCCCCATATTTTCGAGAAAAAATAACTTTGCGCTAAGATACTATCCCTAAAAAGCCTATATTTAAGGATTTTTGGCCAAAAGTCGATTCTTTCAGAGTTGAATTCGAACCAACCAAATATGCGGCCAGAAATATGTGAAAACATCACTCGATTTGGTCATGTAAGTACCCAAAATGTTTGTAAAGGATCATACTAGTTGTTCAAAGGCAGAAAAGGTAGAAATCATTTGCCTTTACCTGTCAAATCGATGCTTATGTTTGTGATTTGCTCATTTTGACCTGAAATTTGTCTTATATTGTCGATAAAAAAAAATCTAGACGTGGTTTCGAACAAACTAATGATGCAAAGGTGCTTGGTTTTTGGTCCTCTAAAACAAGCAATCGGAATTTCTCATGTGCAGAAACATGTGTTGCACGGTGTTAGTATCAATGAATAGAGACATTTTTGAACTGATGATAATTGAATGAATTTCGAAAATAATTAAAAGAAAAGACTGAATTTAATTAGCGAGTCTGATCAGCCAAACCCTATGCCAATATTTGGAATTTTTTGATTTGATTCATTGAATTTTTCCCTTCCAAAAAATTGTGATATCATTGATATCATATCAAAGCCTTTGATTCAAAGCTAGGTTTGAATTTCTACGCAATAACCAAAGTTTATTTTAATGCCCAACTGTTTGTTTCAGTGGATCATTACTTGAGGTAAAAAAACAATCCAGCCTTCCAAAAACAATCACATAATTGAGCGTAGTTTTCCAAACTTTAGAAATATAATTTCGAACGTTATAATTGAATTGGAAACATGCTCCATTCATTCATCCAGTAATAATGAATATTGTTATCAACAATAGCTGCTGCATACAATTAAATAATTTACCAAACTCATTGCTTCAATCATAATAGTAGCACCCAAATAAATCAAACTCCACAGGGAAGTAGCGCGACAAGAATGTCGAGTTCATTCGAGAAAAAAAAATCGATTTTCGATTGTGTGTTGAGTAATAATTCAGTAGAAAAATGCGGCGTGTCCAAAGAACAAACGGAAAAAATGACAACAAAAATAAATTTTCCAGCACACGCGAATTATAGCTTATGTGAACTTCCATTTTATGACTCATAATTATGCGATACCAATTACGTATAATGATTTGGTGTTACTGTGGCCGTGAAAGTAAAACACTGGCAAAACCTGTGAATAGGTGAATAAAAAAAAATGTATATAATTTGGTGTGGCCTGTATGCGTAAAGGGGCTTAATCTTTCAGGTTCAGTCGCGAAAATTCACACTTGTCAGCCGACATTCGCACATAACAATTAGAACTCGCACGTGTTATGTGTGCAACACATCATATGAACTACGGAACTGTTTGGACTGGACATGAATATTTGATGATGCTTATTTCTAATCGCATTTACAAGTTGTTTGCAATATTAACGGAAGATTACAAAGATGACTCTTACTGCATTTGCATTCGCAAATATTTGAGGCTTTGCTTGAAGTCACTTTAGTGGCATTCGCACCTAGAAGCGTGGCATTGGTATCCCCTTTCGACAAATACAAATAGAAAATTGTGCCGATCGACACGATGATAAATGACGAAAAGTATAGCGAACGGCATGAAAGTACAAACTGATAAATGAGTGTGATAAAAAAAAAGCGATTTGTGTGTATAAATGCCGCTGATTGCGACCACATAATCGTCAGTTGGTCAGTGGTTCTCTTCAAGTGAACATATAACAAACGAAACTCTCTGTTAGAGGAAAAAAAAACTACCGTTCAGTTTTGGTGCAAGTAAATTCGATTAAATTCAAGAATGGATGAAATTGTGGAAAAAATCCGTACTCGTATTGCAAGTGTCGATCCCAATGGTCCACGCAAAGTGACTGGTGTGTTTCAATTGAACATCAGAAGTGATGACGGGTCATCGAGAGCTATCACGCTTGATTTGAATAAGCTCGAAGTTCTTGATGGAAATGTCAGCGATGCACCCGATGTGTCAGTGGATGTTGATGGTGCGGCACTCGTTCAAGTTGCAACCAATGAAATCTCGTTCGAAGACGCTGTCGCAACTGGAAAAGCCACGATTACTGGCGATGCCGAATTGGCGAAACTTTTGGGTGATGTCGTCAGCAGCAAACCATTGGAATAAAGACGTCAAATGCATTCATACATTAAATCGCATCAGATGCACTCTGTCAAAACAACGTACCATTCGAGACCATCTCTAGTCAATCTAATTTTTAAATAATAAAAAAAATTGTGTGTCTCGTGTCATTTGATGCTATAAAATAGCTTAGACATATTTGCAGTGTCATTACAATCAGCTGAATGTAAAAGAGAAAAAATGTAATAAAAACGCTTCTTCGAAGCACAAAAAAATATATACATATATGGAGTGACTTTTATTTGAATTATTAAAGGCTTTTTATACTGAGGCAATCTGCAAAATGTAACTCACGCTTGAAAGTATTTGAATGTATTAAGCGATGACCGAGTTCTTTTTTTGCTTTCGTCTTCTTTGTTGTTGTGCCATTTTCTGTACAATACTACATCACAAAACATATTGAGCTATTTTTCAATGCATATTGATATGTGTTCGATGCAAATCGACGGCAATATTAAAAAATAGCTCAAGAATAATTTCCATAACAGATATGCAATAATAAATCACATCCCCATTGAAACACTCTCTAAATAAGCGATTTTGATATTGAGCTTGGGAGGAATTGTTGTGCTGTTGTTGAGTCTACAGGAATTCTTATCGTATCTAGAGGTGCTTATGGTATTTTCGTTGGCGAAACAGTCTCACTGCAATACTAAAATCTCTCTCCCACTTTACTTCCACCTCCTTCCTCTCTCACTCTCTCGCTCTCCCCATTTCCCGCTCTAATTCATCTTTCTTTTCAGTATGCAATTTCAAAAGTCGACGGCGCAAATATTACACAATATCAAATTTCTTGAGAATCAGTGTGAGCATGCACTAGGGTGGTCCAAACTGATTTATCATGGTAATGTATATACCGAAAAAACGCAACAAAAATCCGTATAAATGTATAAAAAAATATCAATTTTTCCCACTGACAATTTTGTTATTTCTTTTTGAGTGGATTCGAATTCTGCGGCCTAAAAAACCATAAAAATGGCTGCTTTGAATAAAAATTTATCTTTGGTGGAAAAATACGAGGTTGGAAAAAATGTGATTTTTTTCGATACGTGAACGATACTAGAAAATTTTAGTTCTGAGATAATTTATTAAAATAGCCGTTTTAAGTACGGCTCTATCGACCACTAGATTTTAACATTTTTTCTATCTGAATCAGCCCAATTTAATTTTAAGCTATTGGGAGCATATACCTTACCATGATAAATCAGTTTGGATCACCCTAGCGTGCACAAACTTGCACTTTTGCTCCGAAACAAATCGATGAATGAAATATTCACAATGCGTAGCACAGCACCCAGAGAATGTAATAAATTGTGATGATGTTGAATGGACGAGAGCTCATCACTGGCTCCAGGCACTTTACCTTTCATATAAACCAAGAGAATGCATACAATGACTAACGTTCACATCAAACTAATATATTTATGACGATGCAGACAGGGAACAAATGGCCAAAGAACATAGAGAATAAAATCTCTTGCTTCACAGCAAAAATAGAGATAGACATTTTGCCATCAAACTTACTTACCATTAAAAGTTTTTTCCGCTACTACTTGGTTACTCGTACGCAACAGGATTGTATCGGTTACCAGGAATTATTTCTGAATTGACTTTTCACATGAAATGCAAAATAGTCATTTCTTGCTTTCGATGGTTTCTGAGAAATTTCGATATCTATGTGATTTTGTAGAAAACCTTTGGTTTACAATTTTCAGAAGAAATTCAACAAATTCGATAATTCTGAATTCGTTAATCATTCAATGAGCTCAGATAGTATTTAATTTCAAAGTTCAACCGGTACGCTTTGGTCTGAAATAGATTTTCTATAGAAAAGTAAGTAATCAATTATGTTAAGCCAGTAAGAGTCGTACGCATTTTTTGAAGCCCACAATTTCGACTTTTAACTGATAAGAAAGTGTTATTTTTGGGCAAAAAGTGTACTTACCGCAGCTCATCAACCAGATTAGCACTGTGAACACGCAATATCAAATTCCACATTTTGATAATAATACTTTCATTTCCAATTTTATTGCATTTCGTATATTCAGCAAATCGCAATACATTACATGTTTGTTGGTACTTGTGAATCATATATTATTTTTATAATTGTTTTATTGGCTCTTATTTCCGTTTTGACATAAACATTTGCATATATACAATTCCATTCATCTATCTCCCTTTGTCTCGCTCAGTATCAGTATCAGCGTCTAGTACAATAATATGCTTTGCTTCATTAAAAATATTTGCTTTGTCCAGCGACAATGCCTTGTTACATTTTAAATACCAATATACAGAATAGATTGAGTGGGATTACATCTTATGTTTGTACACTTTTCAATTTCTTAAATCAATTTCATTTATCACTAGATATCCTTAATAATATAACTTTGACTACTCCGTCTCTCTCACGCGCACTTATTCTGTGAACTAATTTTGCTAATGAATCATCCTTCATTCAATGATAGAGAAAAAAAATTATTGGTAACAGAATAACTTATGAAAAACTTTATTTTGCTCTTTTCACTTTCATTCACACCGCTTACATTCGTTAATTATAACAATAAGCAGTTCCATTCATTTCAATTTCTTCGTAACTACTTCCTTTTCAATTATATTTTTTACCTTTCTGCATACACAAAGAGGGAGGAAAGTTTTTATCGTAATCATAAAAAAATCGATGCACGAAAAAACGAGTTTTCTTTGCGTTTTTGAGGTCATATTCTACATGTTTTCCATGTATTTCGGTCGATTTTTTCCGTTCTATTTCCTACGATTATGTACTTATTGAGCACCATTTGTAAGCCATTTGATATCAAAACAAACAGTGCTATCAGTTGAATTCGCTTATAAGCTTCTATAGAATAAAAGCGACTATGATGAACTGCTTGGAAATAGTTACAGGAAAGCCTCCGAATTTCAAAGTTTCGAATAGTGAAGATTAGTTATACTTTTATGGTTTTTCATGGAAAACAATCTTCAAAAAGTCAAAACTCGTTGTAGTTCATTTAAAAAAAATGCATAGAAACTCATGAAAATCATGTTATTATTGCTGAATGGACCTGTAGACACGCATTTTCTGTACTCCAGTTGAAAATGTTGTACAAAGATTTCAATAGCCGTGATTGTGTTCATTTATTTTATTCAAATACAACCGATTGATAAAATGAAATAGAAAGAAATTTCACTAACATCAGAAATCATTGGTCAATTTATATATTTGACCAAGAGAAAAAATATTCTGCAAACAACGGAAATCCCCAAGTAATTTCAACGAATTTTTTATTTTGTCCAGTGGGATTGCGTAATTTCGGTCATTTTTGATTCATCAAACAGATAATAAACATTATCTACACAAATAGATCGAAAGACTTCATACAATTGATTTTATCGAATCGTTCACGATTTGGTTGCCTCCAAATATCATGCATAAGATAAAATAAAATTCATTTAACATTATTTGCTTTTTCGTTAAGTAGGAAAAATGGTTGAAGCAAGTTATTTGTGGTTGGGTTTAATTTTGTTGCCATTCGGTGTAAAATCGATGCAAAACATCAATGTAATGGTGTCGCAGATGGAACCGTTTGTTTCTATTGATAGTGCAAAACGAATACTCAACGACCTGGATGTAAAAATAATTGAAAACTTTGCGAAACAAGCCAATTTCCAAGTTGAATATATAGTTACGAATGAAACATTAAATGAAGTCTTTAGATCAGAAGCGAGTTTGACCAATTTTTTGGAATTGATGAAAGATTCGTAAGTAATAATAATGAGAAAAGGATATTTTTAAGAAGAAAAATATCCATGTCCTTCCCGAAAGGTATGTCACATTATGTTGATTTCTTTTCCATAGTAAAGTTGACCTTTTCATTGGTGCACTGGATGAAACACTAATAACGAATAAGCATTTAATTGCGTCTCAATCTTATTATCACGACCGGATAACTTGGTGTGTTCAGAAGAGCAAACGGATTCCATTGTGAAAAAACTCCTTCTATTTTTGTACCGATAATATTGTTTTCTTGAGTGGATCAATTACGGCGATTGTGCTCATTTGCACGGCGTACTTCCTGCAGTAGCTGGAATATGAAAAATGAGATTGAACAGAAATATGGATAAATGTAATCTGTGTTGCTTGTGGCATGACAATGAATTACAATGCCCAAAGTATTCCAACGCGTATATTTCTCGTCTTTATGTTTTTTGCGGACACTATATTTGCTAATACAACTGGTTCAATTTCTCTCAAGTTCGTCACCACACCAATTTTGAACACACAAATTGATTCCGTTGACGAAATTATTCGCGGCGATTTTCGACTGATGGGCGATCGATTTGCGTTTATGAAAATACACCAACAAAACGACGTGAAGTTATATCCTGGAGAAAGACTGCGCCAATTTAAAATCGTAAAAAATCCAAATGAATACCTGCGTCTACTTGAATGGAATGATAAACTTGCTATTGCAACTTCATACGAAAGAGTGCGAAAAATTCAAATGAACTCTGGATTGAAACTTCATTGTTTCCATCATTTCAAGAGCATTTATGATTATTCGCTAAAGATCTTGGCATCGAAAAACTTCTCGCGCTTTAATGAGTTGAATATTTTCATTCAGCGTGCGAACAGTGGTGGTCCCTTCGTTAGTTGGCTGAAGGGACTGAATTTTGGGTCTTTTACTGAGTACATGGAAATGAAACTGGAGAACGTGTACGGTTCGTTTGGCTGTTGGTTTGTTATAATATTGTGCCTAGTTCCTTTGGTATACAGTGAAAGGATTGTGTATAAGAAAGTGCACACCGAAAATACGACCAAAATTTGGAAATATATTGAGATGGCAATTGATCCGCATCGTCACTTTTTACTAGATAATTTCCAGTTTGTCAATAATCATTCCAAGCTCTCGGGGAGGCTTGAAATGAACATCGATGGCGGAGTTGCGGTGTCTAAATAATTGATTTGTGCACAACACAATGTTCCATTTTTTGATTGTAATGACGATGAAAGGAAAAAGAGACACTCACTCCCAATATGTTAGGATAGATTTTTGTTTTCATGAATATTTCACACGATGCACAGGTTGATAAAATAATGATGAAAGCATAGGGTGGTAGCCGCATGAATGTTATTTGTTTAGAAGTTTAAAAAAAATTAGACATTTCATTGAGTTGACTATTGAATTGAAGGCGTTTGTGTCGTTTCTAGTCTGGTTTCTAACTAACCTTTGGACATATTTTAGAATGACCATGACCATATCGCCTCTTTTACTACATCATTTTCAGTTAATTTAGATTGACGATGGGTTGAAATAGATTCAATGTAACTGAAGCAATGTGTGATTAGATTGCGTTTCTTGTACTGCCGCTGAAATATGTAACAAATATCACATATTCGAATTAAGTCCAAAGGTTTCACATATCAACAAACGCATTATTGGTTTTACGATTACATTTCTCACAATTCAGAAGTGGGTATTAAAAACTTACAGCGATAATTTGCGACTACGAAATCGGTTAACTTTTCAATTCTATGGGCGCCGCCGTATTGAAAATTTACGTGCGATATGGTGCACGCACTCAATAGTTCCACTTATTTTAATAAGGAATCTCTATAGGTGGCGCTGCCACATCGTCATTGACATCGAGTCAAATATTGTCAAATATAATAACATTGTTTATATAGGCTTTTATCGCAGTACGATTAAAAATAGATGGAACGATTACTTTGTGCATAAATACGTTTCATAGAGTCATACAGTTGACAGCAACCATACGATTTATGTCATTGTGGTGCATAGCAGTCATTTAGTTTCGTTCGATTTTTTCGTGAAGTTAGATTTCAAAATTGGTCACTCATCAAGAAGCCATTGTTGCAATCCACATCTTGTCAGTATAACGAAAAATTCAATCTTATAGCAAACCAAGTGAAAAACTCGCACCGTTCGCACTCATTTTCAAGAGAAAAAAGGATTTGAAATGGCCATCCCTGTTCGTACTTTGCACTTTGCACCAATAATACCATCCGTGAGTATTTCTTTTGTATTTTTTTTCCTTCGATTTATTACTCAATTAGATCAATTGAAGATTTCCCAGATGACTAAAGAGATCCGTGGATATTTCACACAATTTGGAGAAGTGGATTTTTTGCAATTTCATCTCGAAGATGGGAACGAGTATGGTTTTGTTCAATTCATAGAGGCAGAAGAAGTTCTGTCACAAGAAAGGCATTGTATTTTGAATTATTCTTTGAGGGTCAGTGCAGCGGATGATCATCATCAGCCAGATTTTAAGCCAGAAAATTGGATGTTGCCTCCATAGCAGGACACTCTATCGCATATTCTTATCGCCCTCAACGACGATTGTTTACGAGAAGTCTTTCTACGCTTGAAGTTGCTCGTTCTTTCTCGTGCCGCCGAAGTCTGCGTCCGCTTCAATCAGATAGCAAAGGAGGCGTTCGCTGCCAACTTCAAACAGTTGAAACTTGATTTCGAAACACTCGAATGTGATTTGTTTTCAGATTCACCTCTTTCACTTTTTGAATCAGAAACAAAACATATTTTAAGCAATTTTGGCTCATCAATTCATTCGCTTGAAGTTAACGGATTAATTGTGGAAATGATGTACTCCGGTGAACATAGCCATAATTTTCTACGTATGATCGGTCAATACTGTACATCAAAGTACAGATAAATCCCGTGTATCATCTCCACTTGTATTGTTTTTTACATTGAAGGGCGTTGCACGCACCTTAACATTCACAATACAAACTCAATGCGAGTGGAGACGCCTTATGAAAAATGGCACAGATTGCTAGTGCTTAGGTTTATCTGTACTTTGACCGAGCTCAAATTTAAACAATTTTCAATACCTAGAAGCTTACCCAATGAAATCTATCCAATTGTTGCAAAGCTTGAAAAACTCACATTGGAATCTGGCTATTTCTACGATGATGCGAACAGTTTGAAGAGTTTATTGTCAACCTGCAATGAGTTGAACAGAATGGTTGTCCACAATTGTCAGGTCTATGATTGGGAGTGTATCAAACGGAAGTTTCTGAAGCTAGAGGAAATCCATTTGACCGTAAATAATGGGTTTAATCTTGATTATTTGAGCAGTTTCATCATTTTGAATCCAACAATAACCATAATGTCCCTCAAAGATGGAGATATTGAGGCCTCGGAGGTGTGTCGTATAGTTGGAGAAAATTTGCCCAATTTATTGGAATTCGAACTCGATTGTATGGACTCTAATGAGTTCCAGGATAATATTCGGTATCTTGGTGGGTTGCGTCAATTGAAGGTGCTTAAAATGAATTTCCAATCAAAATGGATAGCACCACTAATGGCGGCTCTAGTAAGGAATAACGTCCCAATTCAATACTTGAAGCTTTCTAACGGAAAAATCGATGTTGAAGCAATTGATCACATTTCACAACTGAAAGCAATGACGACTTTAGAACTTTTGAACGTGGATGACTTGGTCGATGAACATGTGATTGAACTAGCAAAACAATTGCCACGAATGGAGGAATTTGCCTTATTTGAGATACCTATATCATTATCCACCATTGCTTTGAAGAAAGTGATATCACATGCGAAGAATCTATCGCTTCTCGGGTTAATGGGAACAGACTTAATCAGTGCTATCGACGTAGATGATTACAAGGCTATGTTAAAATCAGTTCAAAATCGACCAAAAAAATTACGTCTTATAATGAAAAATTGTAGTGATGTGAGTCGGGTGAACGTTCCATGCCAAGTTTTAAATGAAAATCAACAATTTATTTGTCGACGACTTTCATCCTTATGACGATTATGACGATTTTGATGATTATAATGATGAAATAAATTGGTACTGGCGAGATGAAATGTAAAGTAGTTGGAAAGAAAAATGTATCAATTTTGTTCGAAAAAAATTCCGTTCTTGAAAAATAAAATGTTGCTGTTCATCTTTCCAACAAACTATTTTGGTTTTTAAATATTCACTAACTAAGAAAATTCCTGTAGTAAAACTAGTCTAGAAGCTTCTCTGCTAGGGGAATTTAACTCTTACGAGTTCAGCATGTTTTCTGCCAGTTTGCTTGATTCGCGGAAGTTCGACGCGTTCGTTGTACGTACTGACGCGCACGGTCACAAGTTTACACAAGTTTGTTTATGGTTTTGCGCGTTTTTCAAGTTGTTATTTGACAACTAAAACGCGTTTCAAACTAAAAATCGGTTGTTTACGTGTATAAAGATTTTCCAAAAGTTCAAAGATTTATATAATTATAAAATGGACAAAGGAAATATTTTTAAAGAGCTGGAGAAAGTGTTGGAAGAAAAAGTTAATCCAGATGGATATAATAAATGGAACGACTGATGTGTGCGCGTCGTCCAGCTTCATGTTTGCACACGAACTCGCACAAGTTCGCGCATGTTGTTTTAATACGGAACTTGTCAACTGAGTGGAATCATGCAAGTTCTCTGGTGAATGTAACAATTTCGTGCGCGTTTATATCATTTTTTACAAGTTTTCACGTAGTTAAATCCCCCTAGCTTCTCTGTTATGTCATTCGGTGTCAAAAAGGTAAGAAATTCCGTTTTTTGGTGTATCAATTTTTAATGACTACAATATTTTCCTTTGTGCAAAAAAAAAATAAAAACAAATTTTCCCTAAATAAACGTTTGCAATTGTTCTGAAAATGATTAAAAAGGCATATATGTGCGAGACACAAAAAAAATTCGTCGATTTGTCGTTGAATTTTGAAGTGTCAAAACAAACTAGAATTGAATTTCAACTGATATTAACTAATGTAATGACTTTACTATTGCCAAAAACATACAGATCCGTTTCATGTTTCAACAGACGAGGAACATTTATACGCATGATGCTCATACTGTAATAATTACCTAAATTTAAGTATACAAGTGCATAAATAATGCGACTGTTTGTCATTTATCCTGTAGTCGCAATGCTCTATAATGCCGTTTATTTTGCTATTTTTGCGATTGGAAATTATTCAGCGGCAAAAATTCCAATAGCCACGATTTAATGAGAATATTGGTAATAGTATTGTTGATTATTTTAGCGGTTATAATGTAACATATGGGTTGATGTATGTGTGTTTTTTTGCATCCATTTCATAATTCAGTTTAACGGCACAACATTTTTATGGGTTCTTTTGTTCTACATTTTAAACTGTTTTTAAGCTACGATCGAGCGCTTCAATGGAAAGTTTTGAGTGATGAACAGGCATCGAATCGTTTCCAAGGATTTTTCTTCTATCAATTTTGATAGACGATAAAAGGTAGAACAAAACAAAATAAAAAGTACATAGGTGTTGACCAAATATTGGCCTCTGCTTAGTTGGAAACAGTGATTAAGCTCCGAATATTAAACATCTTTTGCCTGCTCATCAATGCACATCACTGACATGTGTAATGTGTTTCTATTTTGCTGCCACATACGAGTATTTCTCATTTTGTTATTTATTGTCTGTTTGGTTGAATTCCACTCTATTTACATTTTGGCTAACTGACTGACTCATAGTTCCATTGACATAGTTCTGGACAAAAATACTACCAAACAAAAATGTTGAAAACGATGCAAAGAGAGAGGGAGAGAAAACAATAAATGACCAAATTTGTTTATTCGCCTGTAAATTGAATTCCCATCATTAAAATCGAATGCATGGCTTGCAATTGCCGATTCAATGATTTACCCGTTTCGGGTGTTTATTCAAAAAAAAAAACGGGTAAACATTGTCTCACACGCACAGCACACACACACACTCACTAGCAGGAAAAATGAACCGAATCGACATTGTCACACTTTTTGGTATTGATTTTTCGCGTATTATTGGTTATTTGGTTGGCTGCGAATGTCGCGTGTGATTCGTTATTTATTGGGCTGCATCGATATCGAACGGAAGCAAATGATAGCACACATCATACATGAAAATCCATTAAAAATGGTCAGGAAGCAAACCGCAACGAGAGAATGAGCGAGCCAACTACGAGTGGAGAGAGAGAAAAAAATGGCCATCGTCCCATTGTCACTAATAACAATTTTAACTAAATAAAATGGTTTGGAGACCGTAATCGACGGGTTATCATTTAAAATAAATTATGGCAAATGGAAGAGAACGCGTGTCTTTTTTTCGTGCATCGATGCATATCCAGTGCAAACTGGGAAACCGCAACGCGAGAAAAAAACCGTTCGAGCCAAATTCATAAAACAAACATGTTTCACAATGATGATGATGATGCTGTCGAAGTGCAGTACTTAATGGCGACGATATTTTTTTGTTGGTCGGTTGTATTTTTCATTTGAATCACACGACGCAGCAGATATGACACAACGTTGACCATAATTTACAATTGCCGAATATTGTGAATTGCATTTTTAACATTTCCAAGCATCATTACCGTCGGCATATCATCATAATTTTAATAGAAAAATCGGAGCACGGCCGCATGCACGTCATGTAGTATGGAGAAAAAACAAGTCATGAGCTCACGAGTGGCAACGTGTGTGCGTGTGTGTGGGTTTACTCGAGAAGGACATTTTTCGGTTGTCGGTTTTCCGCGAATCACCGTCCATTAAATTAATTAGTTACCTCGAAATTGATGCAATGACGATGTGCGTTCGGAACATTATTAATTTCATCGTTATGTGAATCCTTTTTGATTTCGATTTCATTTATTTCACATTTTTATTGAACATCATTTCAATCGCTTTTTTTTCCGTCCATTCAATTCAAGGATCAAATTTGGCTGTTGTGCTTCAGTTGAAACATTTTTATTTGGTTCAGAAAAATTTCAAATAGATTTCGTTGCCAGTTTTATTTTTCTATCAAAAGACGTCAAATTGTGTTTGATCGTGAGCTATTTTTTTTTTTTGAAAACATCAAACGGAAAATGTTGAAATTTGGCCATTGCACAAAAACGACCAATAACATTAAAAACCCTGGGATTTTTAATTATAAATAAATCATTGCTACAGTTCAACATGTCCCTGTTCAATTATTTTCTTTCTTTTTTTTAAACAAATAACATTCAGATTTAAAACAAACATTCAATTGAAAGCAAATACATTTGCCGAATCTGACGTTATCGAAATCGAATCACAATCACCAATACATTTCCACATCATTTAAAGTAAACGTAAAAGTAGGGAGAGGGAGAAAAAAAACGGTGGCGTGAAAATTAATTAATAATTACTATATTGATTTACATTGGCATAAATGAAACTGATCAGATATCCGATTTGGTTTGGTGTAAATATCGTTAGTCATTGACAGCTACTAAATTAATTCATGTGTGTGTTTTCATTTTATTTTTATTTTATTTTTTCAACACCGTATCCAAACAATCGATTATTATGTAGCTAATAATGGAGTAAACACCGAAATTAGCAAATTAATGGCAAATAATATGAAATTATAATCGAAAAGCATAGAATAAATATTGCTAATGCTGTGCTTGCCAGCAAATGGGGCGATAATCGGTGACGCAGTCGCAGATGAGACCTCATTATCTGTGCTACGAACTTCCGTGCGAGTCACAATGGCATTATTGGCATTTAATGCGTTGCCATTGATGCCGGTGCCGACATTGCTGGCGGCACCATTCGATCCACTGCCACCGAATAACGGTATATTGAAGCGTGCATTGTTATTGTTACCGTGACTACTCTGATATGGATAATGATGGTTATTATTCGCACCAAAGCCATCCGAAGATGTTTTTGTTGGCCGCAAAAATATGTTGGGTGATAAATCAGAATCGTCATAATCTTCCGCCGAACCAAATATGGTTTCATCGTCGTCTGATACCAGTGCCGGATGTGTCACCTTTGGTGTACGCTGATTCGAATACGATTGCGATTGTTGCTGTTGCTGTTGCTGCTTATGCGATTTATACACTTCATTTGGATTATGCTTCGACGTATGACCATGATTGTAGTGGTTATGATTGTGACTTCCTTTGGCATCAGGAATTTCTGTAATAAATTTATTAGGAATTTTCGGTTTACTTACTTTGGTTTTACACAGTTTATTTTCATTTAATTATTCGATAGAAGCTGTCTCAATTGGTATTTATGTGAAATCCCTTGGGTTTTTATCATACCAATTATTATAAAAATAATTATTTTTAATTAAATAATACTCAATGAATTTTTTTTGATAAGTGATGATAATTCATCAATTAAAATCCATTTAAACTGAATTGAAGAAGTGACTAAAGTCAATTACGACTGTATTTCATTCTGACACCAAAATGTATTCTCTTCATACATGTAAATTAATTTAACGTAGCATCAACATTCGAAATTATCGTGATAAAATGAAAACATTCCTTTTGTTCACAGCTTTTGTTTACCTAGAGTGGCATTAAAATTGCAATACATATGGCATGCAAGTCTTAACCTATTCAATGGCAATCATTTGCTTTGCCGGTTGAGAAACGCCGTATCCTTAATAGTTTGCTCGCAAATGTAAGACGAATTAATTTAATCTGCCTCATTACATTCATTTTCCGCTTAAAAAACTTTTCGAATAAAACTTTCATCCGAATAAATTTGCCCCATTCCATGCCATGGCATTAAGGTCTGACATCCTTGTTTGCACTTACGAAGTTTCTACGTCGAACGCAGTGACTGAGCAAAACGAATATTCTCAAAAAAGGGATTCGACGAGCAGACACTTGTGTTCAACGTGAAAGAAGCTTTGTGAACATGACGACCGCGATTATGATTGAATCAATTTTGGATTTTGATACAAACATTTACGATGTGATAATTTGGGTTCATTTATCAAATTAAGTGCTAACAAACTTTCTTCGATTTCATAAAAGTGCCGAAAAAAAACACTTGTTCTACAAAACGGGATAAGAAAAAAGAGTTGACTTACCATACAGCCGTATGCTGCTATCTACTTCGCCTAATGAGTTCTTTGCGATGCATCGATACGAACCGATGTCGTCTTTTTGGAATCTGCGAATGGTGAGCGTCATTCGTGTTTCATAGAGTGACAACGATGTTTCCTGCACATTGTATTTGGCCGATGATACAATCATTTCACCTGTTGATACGAGCCCTTTGACGACAAAGACAATATAAGCACAAAAGAACACACACATAAAGTAACTTGTTAGCAGAATTGAGCTGTTGAATGACAAACGATGGGAAAATACGTATTGCTACGTGTTATAATGTGTTTCCTTTCCCTGAAACTTTTATTTGTTAAGTGAATAATGCTGTTGAATATCGCTTGAAGGAGCTACTGCCATCACCGCCACCGCCACCGCCACCACTGCTGCCACTGTGCACGACACTCTGTGTGTGCACAGAGAATGAGATAGAAGAAGAAACAATTGCTGCCAAAATGGCAAACACGCAAGTAACGCTTCACTGTGTGTTTGTTTTACATTTGACATTGATTTTATTGTTATCGTTGTGTTTGTTCTTGCCTTTTTCTGCTCCTTTAACTTTGCTAAGCTTATCCGCCCGATGAATGGCTTGATAAAATAATCGCAAGCGATTTGTTACATGTGAATCGAACGAAAAGGGTGCGAGCATTTCCTGCGATGATATCGTTTATTAGATAGATATTTCAAGCGAAGCCATACGAAGGCACACACACACCGAGCACAGTTGATGGCAGTGGGAAAAGAGCAGGAGTGTAGAGATAAAACCATTTACATTGAACATCTTGTTCGATAAATGAAGTTTGGACGTGTTAGTAATTCAATGAGTGATTAATGACAATGGATAAATGGTCGGTCATTGTTAACCGGGTCCACATTATATACACGTAAACCATATGTTGATTTACCCCATCAACGGAAACAATGCTGCATTCAATGGGATAAATTATACGTTTGAATATTATAATAGTAACATCATCAGGTTTTGAAGATAGTTTTAATGAAAAATGATGTACAGATCAAATCAATCATTAATTTCAAATGGATTTTCATCAACATTGACGATCTGAAAATTGATACAAAACTACAATGAAACAAAATCGAAATGAATCCAGATTCGAATGTTCATCCATTTTCAATGCGAAAAATATTGATTTTCAAGTGTCATGTTGTATTCCAATTTTGAGCTAAAATGCTCAAGCATGTGAATGTATTACGTATGTCTACAGCAACAATTCCCATGTCAATATTTCACTTGGTTTTGTCTTGATTTATTTATTCAACAATCCTAATTTCATTTCGGTTGAAAGATTCGTTTGCTATTGTTTTGGAATCGATGATTTCAATTAAAACCTCATCGAATTTAGTTTTGCGGTGTGCAAACGACTGTATTTTCGGAATTTGCTTCAATTATTTACACGGGAAAAGACGAAAATAATTGGTATACCGAGCAGGGCACTCATTCAGTCTCAAGAGATTTCGAATGGAATTGTGTTTCATGCCACAAATTTGAGTTAGAAATTACAATTTACAAGGTACGAGGTAAATACAACAAAGAAAATTGCTATTACTTTTGTTGAGTGTGTAACATTCACATATTTCACAAGATGCCAAAATAAATGAATGTGCAGAAAGCGTATAGCAGCAGCAGCAGCAGCAGGTTCGATGGTTTTGAAAGATGGCATCCCCAGAACAAAGGGAAAACTAGCTTGATATTCTATCAAAAGTGTGATTTTTTTCAAAAACTTCTTTTAATTGTTTGCAATTCTTCAATTGTTCTCGTGAAACTGAAGAAAAACAAATATTTTTGCTTCTTCAACATTTTCAATTTGCTTGTTTTTCATATTTTCACTCCGAAAAACAACTCTCAGTCTCGCCAAACTTATCCCTTTTTGGCCTGAAGCTGGCGACGTTTTTCTCAACCATGCATTCGACCGAAGAAGAGTAAAAATGTACCAACAAGCAGAATCCAAACTTACCGTCTTTCACGTCTTTGATCCAGTAATTTATCGATTTCGGCGATGCTTCAACATTGCACTCGATTGTAACATCTTTCTCAAACGGTGATCCAACGAGTTGATTTCGCACATTTATTACTGGATGAACTGCAGACGAGAGAGAAAGAGAGAAAAAAAGGAGTAAATTTCAACATTGTATAAAACTAATTTCACTTAATTAAAAGAACCATTTCCATCTACAATTTCGTAAGAAAAGATATAAGAGCTCGGATTTCTTCTTTTGAAACAGAATAACTCGAGTGTATTCTGTAAATTATAAGTAAACTTGTATTTTCGACAGCGAAATTACAGGTTCTGCAAATGAAAGAGGAACATCAAACTGATGCAAATTTCATCAGATGTGAAACAATTTACTTGCATCAAGCACCTTTGTATGCACTATATATTTATCTAGTTTAATCAAAGCTCGAACACAGCAGTGATGCTCGTTGCTGAATACTAAGAATGTGGTCCACTTCGTGTAATCTTCGGATTGAAGTGTGAAAAACTTTCAGTGAAGCTGTGAAGTTCACTGTTGGCTAGCGTCTAATTTTATCGGAAAACCCTTGAAAATGAAACTTTTCCAAGTTTATGCTACATATATTGAGATCAAATTCAAGAGCGGCAATTGTTTGGCATTCGTGCACTATGCAAAGTGCTGAAAATTACGCAGTGTGTTTGGTCTAACCACTTTTCACACAAAATTCCACCGGAAGCAAAATTTATGTGTGATTCAAAGGTAAGAAGTCAGTAGTCTCGTTAGTTGTGTTGTGTGTGGCTGTTTGGCTGGTGTGGGTTCGAACTGCGAGTTGGAAGCATGATCAAAACGCACACACACACACACACACCGAGTGCGGTAACTATTACACATGAGATTCGTTTGTGAACTTTGTTCGATTCGGTAACATTTCAACCCTGTTATTATTAGGCACATTATTACCGATGCACGATGGGTCGAAGTGTGTGCATGTTGTATTTATGTTGGATGGGTTCATAGTTCAATTGGGCGAATGCAACGGCACCAGCAGCAGCATGCATTCGCTTGGTATTAGACGTTGCTTGTAATTATCTATATGGTATGTGTAAAATAAAGGTGAACACTTTCACATGCCAGTTTGTTGAATTCTGTGCAAGTCTTGCCAGCCAACAAACGAGAGAACGAACGAACAAACGACCGGGTGAGCTTCATTTTGAGCACATTTTCTTCGCTCTTTGCCAAATTCCATTTTTCTAATGGAATGATTTCGTGTATGAAGCAAATCACCGATAAATATTCACGTATGCCAACACGCAAAATACACGTAACGTGTATTTGCTTTCGATTTAGATGCATTTTCCAACTCAACACACACACACACACACTCAAAGGGTGTACGGTGATGGTGAAGGGAGGACAGCAAGTGAGCATAAACACATTCACGCAACCAGACACTCATCATCGGCATCAAAATGCATGAATGCTATGCAATTATGGCATAGGGAAACTACACCACTAATCCGTATTGCTGTTCGCTCATTTCTTCTTTGCCGTACGGTGTTGTACTCAAAGTACCGACAGACCAACACACATACAGAGAGAGAGAGAGAGAGAGAGAAAGTGTGAGAGAAAGAATTCATCCTATATATTTCAGCAAACTCAATTTGTGATTGCAATGCATAGCGTCCATACACACACATATACATATTCACAATTCGTATGTGTCGTTTTGTGGGATTTTTTTCTATTTGAAAAATTGTACAGTTCAGCTTCATTCAAAATGGGTTATACCGCACGTGCATGACTAATGATTAAAGACCATGTGAATATTCCATACACTCTAACTAACCATTGCTGTTTCACTACTAATTTCAGCCACATTGTATCACTTCGCAGACCAACGCCTCTGTGTGCGTGCATTCCACTCGTAATTTGGCGCTTTCAACTCAGTTTCGACACAAGCGAGAGAAGGAGAGAGAGAGAGAGAACGAGCCCAGGCACTGGCATATCATTTTACTTGAAAAATCCAGTTGAGACCATTTTATAAACACACATCGAATGAGCCAAATGAATATTTGCCATGCGGTTGGCAACCAAATTGCACACGAGCTCTAACACTTGCACAACGACGACACTTTTTGTTAACTTCTCGTCTTCTCTCTCAAATCCTTCATCGAATCAGGCAATTAGTATTGATTTTGCCGTCACCGATAATTATTATGTTGCAAATGTAAAGTTGTGACATTTTTTTTCTGTTTGTTTCGACAATTCATGTGTTTTTCAAGAGAACAAAACGAACTCGCAATGAACTAGCCAATAATTTTGAGCAAAACATTCGTCGAATATATGATCTTGGCTTCTTTCGAAGTGCGAAGCACAGAAAATTTCGAAATGAGAGTGACTGTCAAGCGAAAAAGGTGAAAAGTGCAAATTAGGAACACGTTTATCCGTTTTGCGGTTGACTTCTTCTTGCACGAACATTTTATGATGAATTACGAGAATTATGGAAATTTCGATCACTTTATTGTTCGTGCACGTTTTAAGCACTCCACATTTCAAATACGCCGAATACGAATCCAGTGTGAATTGGAATGCGTTGTTGTTTTCTTTTCACTCTTTCGACCTGGGCCACAATGCTCACATGCTTTGGCTATGACATATGCCCAGAGTTCATGTTCACCGATTCACTATTCAGACTGGACGCTTCAACAAACAAAAGCCACATGACCAGAAAAACAGTAGCAGTACAAATGAACGGCGGTCGTGTTGAAAGGTGCACACAAAATGATGGATGGATAAACCATTTTACGAGCCAAAAATATGTCATGAATGTGGTCACGGTGGTGGTTGTCCGACTGCAAGTGGTTTTTTGACCAACCATTCACTCCACACGCACCATAATTCCGACATCAACACACCAACGGAAAAAAGCGCCACATACACACGCCATCAATCAGAAATCGATCATTTTTCTAATTAATTCAAAGCTGACCAATAATCATCGAATTAATTGGCGTCACCGGTTCGGAAGATACGGTGCGACGGTGATGTGGCTGCCCGTGATTAACTTTATGAAGCATTTCATCCGGTTCTTAATTCATGACCAATGTGTGGAAATGAGATTCATGGCGAGTTTTTCCACCGTTTTGCGGGGTGAAACGAAAAACGTCCTAAAAAACCCAAAAATGGTCCCATAAATTACGAAAATCATCCTAAATATCACAAAAATCGTCCTGGCAAAATAACAAAATCGATCTAAAAGACCCTAATTTCGTCCGAAAATTAATACAAAAAACATCATAAAAAACAGATTGTGTTTGTTACAGTATATTTTACTGAGTTGTTTCATTGCCATTGAAATATATAATTAAACATACAGTTACTCACAAAATTGTTCAATGTGTCCAAAACGCATATTTTCTGTATCGCATGGGGCAGATATGGCAATATTATCGTGTGATACTTGCTTACGTGCGTCTCATATTCATCATATTTCGTCAAAAGAGAAACATTCGGCTACATCTATTCGTAATGCTCAATTTTATGTTACAAAATATCGCTGATAACATTTGATGCTGTCGTTTTTACAATCTAAGGAATTCCCGTTCATTTCGTCAATTCCACAGTTCTCTGTTGAGTCACGCTTTAATCATTTCCTTCTTCAATTCAACAGCATCAAAATAAGAAACATTTTCGTTAGTTTTATCAGAAAATGATTTCATTTTAGTTATCAACAACAAACAATTTCGAAGAAAACAACCAAAATCATTTCCAATCAATTTTTTAAATTTTATACCAATCAAAATGATTAGATTTTGGAACTGTGGAATAGACGAAATGAACGGGAATTCCTTAGATTGTAAAAACGACAGCATCAAATGTTATCAGCGATATTTTTTAACATAAAATTGAGCATTACGAATAGATGTAGCCGAATGTTTCTTTTTTGACGAAATATGATGAATATGAGACGCACGTAAGCAAGTATCACACGATAATATCGCCATATCTGCCTCATGCGATATAGAAAATATGCGTTTTGGACACATTGAACAATTTTGTGAGTAACTGTATGTTTGATTATATATTTCAATGGGAATGAGCAACTCAGTAAAATATACTGTAACAAACACAATCTGTTTTTTATGATGTTTTTTGTAATATTTTTCGGACGAAATTAGGGTCTTTTAGGTCGATTTTTGTATTTTGTCAGGACGATTGTTGTGATATTTAGGATGATTTTCATAATTTATAGGACGATTTTTGGGTTTTTTTAGGACGTTTTTCGTTTCACCCCGTTTTGCGCATCCAAAACGATTCGTTTATGATGCATCATATTCTCTATGTTTATCTAATCGCATTCGTTTCAATTTCACTAAACAAATATTAATTCGCATATTTTAAATCTATTTAATCCACTCGTGTGGATGGACTATTTCGAGTGGCTCTTTGAAATTTTAGTCTAGATAACATTTTTACCATTTTTTTTACGTTAAATAGACAAAACATCGTAACAGTCACATAGAATCACATAGAATAGTGCCACACGCTAAACCACACATAAAGGCAAATAACAGTCAAAGAGACACGCACACACAAAAAAAAAACGCTGTAAAACCACAAACGGATTAACCGCTGGTGCACATTTTCATTTGGTTTTCATTTGAGTCGGGATTCACGGTTTAAACGATACCCAAGTTGACAATATTGAAACAAATGCCAAAACATAATACGTATTTACTGAATAAAACAATTCGAAAGAAAAACGCAGATAAACCGAATCTTTTTTTCCCTTTGTTTTCCTGCGACATCAGAGAGAAAAAAAACGGGTCTGATGTCTGAGCTTGCAATTAAAGCACAAACAAAATAAAAAGAAATGGTTGTTAGTTTATCCTCGGTCTATGTGCGATGGGTATGTGTACTGGTGGAATGACTCAATTTTCAGTTCACCAGGAATTTTCACAAACAACAAAATGTATTCATTTTCCCTCGTTTCCCGTCTTTTTTTTTTCTCTGTCACATACCCACGTTGACAATGTGTATTTGTAACAAGTGTGTTTGACTTTCGCTGTTTTTTTTCGTGATTCGTCCTCCATTCATTCTTTATCCGCATCATCATTGAAGCAAACGTGCCAGAGCGGAAGCTGTTGCGTACACACAAACAATGCGCTTTTGTCATGGAAATGAGCACAACGACGGTTTAATACAATTTTATAATTATGTAATATCGCAATGGGCCGTCTCATTAGAGGCGACATTTTTTATGGATAATGGCTGTGGATCGTCTGTGTGAGCATTTAAGCAGTCTACTCTCCATCTTCATTGCGCTCTTGGGTCTCGTGAAAACTTAAAATTAAAGACTTCCTTGTCGGGTCACCGTCTATCCTTTTTTTTTGGTGTGAATTCATTGGACTTTCGAGGCACATTTTCATCGGGTTCACAAACCATTTTATGAACTCTGATTCCATTCATTGAATATTTTTTGCTTTTGTTTTTTTCGGTTCGAACGCTCTTTTGTTTCACAATTCGAATGGTTCATTGAAATTT